GAGCACGTCAGTGTATCCCAAAGGGAAACTCCTGATGATCTTTGGCTGAAGGGTTCCCTGGGCTTGCTCCAACCCACCCTGCCCTGCTCGAGGGTTTTCATCCCCTGCCTCACCAACTGGTCTCCTTCATCTTCATGGTACAAGAGAGGCTGCTTGAGAGGCCGGCGGATGTAGGTGTGTGTTGTTGTGCCCTGGAAATACGTGGCGGCAAACTTGGCAAATTTGTACTCTGAGAGGTCTTCCTCCTCTTCCTCAGGGAGAGGCAATGCTGCGTCAAGGTCCTCTTCCTCCAGCTCCTTCTGAGCTCGCTCAAGATCCTGGTGGGGAAGGACATGTCAGGCATCCAGCGTGGCTTTGGATACTGAACTACCCTTTCCCCTTGGGCCTGATTTTTCTGCCCATCTAATTTCTATCCCAGAAGAAAGAGCCAGCTGAAGGAAAAACCATCAGACGTAGCTCTAGATCCATACAAAGCCCAGTTCCTGAAGGACTTGCCTGGGCCCAGGAATATCCCCAGAGCAACAGAGAAGCATTAAGCATGGCCCAGTTCCTAGAATGGGGAAAGGATGTCCAAGAGCTAAATGTCATGAGCTGTTATGAGCCACAGGGAAGGGGATCTCAAAGGCCACAAGTCCTCAATGATTTTATAGTAATACTGCTCCCCTCCATGTGGTAGTCCCAGAGAGTCTGCATGCTGCCTGACTGGAGCATGGAAACCTGGTGGGGTCATGCAAAAGAGCCTAGTCTTGAAGGAATCCTTCAGAGACCCCCTTTTGGTTTGCCCCACACTCCCATGATTCAGTAATGTGTTGCTAAAGCCTTTCATGTCATAGCCAGGCTCGTGTATGCCTTCAGTACCTCGAAGCCATTGGGTGCCTGTCCTTCCTGGCCAGGCAAGGAGGAGGTCGTTCCCAGGAATCCAAACATTTTGTCCACCATTTCTGAGTCGTTCACTGGCTCATTGCGAGCTTTCTCCATTTTTTCTAGGAGCTCTTTCTTCCGACGTGCTTCCTCCTTCTCCTTTACTTCTCTCTCTGCGTCTTCCCGTGCCAGCTGGGCCAGGCGTACCTGCAAAGGGACGAGTACAATGTCTGAACCACTCCCTCCAAAAAGATGCCACTAAATTCTGCAGTACCTGGCTTCAGACTGCTCAGTCCTTGGGGCACTATCCCAGGAATGTGATCTTGGAACAGATCAGTAACATATCCATGCCTCAGTTTCCTAACTGCAGGACAAAGCAGTAGCGTTTTCTCCTTCCTTAGTGCCTGTTTAGGGGATCTGATCCATGCACAGAGAGTCTCACTGACCTTCTGTTTTTCTTGTATACAGCAATCATGCATGTGCACACACACAGAGTGTCCCAGTTTCCTTTTCAGCCTTTATACAGTTGC